ACGTTGGGAGATCTTGATTCTCTGTATCAGGTATAACCCTTCCCTTTGTTCTTGGTTCAGATCTGGTCTGGTTTGGTTCAAGTAGGATCCTTGAATTTTTTATTCTAAAATTAGGGAGTACAATTCCCAGTTGAAAGAAAGGTAGAAAATTTTTTAAATTCGCCCACCCATTCCGCAACCTTTTTGGCGTCCATACGATGGATCCTACCATTTTTTCATTTATATCTATTATAAGAATGGAATATATCCCCTTTGAGGTGGATGAAATCCACCGAATGTGGTGTGCTTCATATTGACCTCTTTCTGTTTTGTTTACAGGTATTAACACCTGTTGAAAACTTGACATCTCATTGATCATAGTGGGTCCCAAGCAAGACTTTTTGTTCTCCTTCTTTTGTTTTTCTCTGTTGTGATATGGGCAGTCCATTGAAGATTCTGATCTTCGGAGGTGGATAAAATCCACCGAACCAGTGGGTCCCAAAAAATATTGTCAGTAGCAAGTGGCAACATGTGCTGTTACAGGTGGTAAACCAGCACACCTATCCTTTTTTTTAAGTGGATAAGGACCCAGAAATGTGTCTTTTTTTCCCATTATATTGAATGTTCTTTTGAGGTGGATAAGATCCACCGAACATAACAATAGTTAGTCTTCAAGTATTAATCTCTTTCAGTATATAAATTGAAATAAGATGTTGAGTTCTAACAGAACTTTAGAGAGAGAGAGAGAGAATAAGATAAAGATTGCAGTAGATAAAATTTTTAAGGGGTAGAAGAAGAAGATAAAATCTATACCTGTGTATGGTTATCCTTAATCAACTCAATCAGCCGACTACTAATTCCTTCCTCTATTTCTTCTCTTCCTCTTTCTTCTCTTTTTTCTTTCTCTTCTCCCTTCTCTCAATCTGCCGACCCAATTTTCTTCTGCTCTCCCCCTTATATAGAGGGAGACAGTTATGGGGTAGGGAGGTTAGAGCAACCTCCCTATTCTTTATACATGGGTGGTTGCTTAACTCCCCCCATAACCAGAACAATTTAAATTTGAATTTATGTGGAGTGGGCCAGCTGTCAAATCTGCCCCCCCCTCCCTCAAGCTTTACATTTATTTATATTATTTTTCTTTTACATCATATATTTTTAGCCCTAAACACAATGTAAAGTTTTTTCTATCAATAATTACATCAAAATATGCCACTTACAAATAAAATAAGCTTGTACAATCATCTTACCTAGTGTTTTAAGAGCACAAGGGATCTATTGTGCCAAGGAACTCACCTATTTAAATTAAAAAAAAAAAAACAAAAAACGCAAAAAGTGCAAAAAAATAAAAAAGTAATAAAAATAAATATTAATTAAAATAATGCAAACTTAAATTTTAAAAGATATTAAATGTTTCAAAAAGCTTATTTTCTCAAATTAAAATTCATAAACATAACATATAAAGCATATTCAAAGTAAAAATATAGAAATAAAATCAAAGATAACATATAAAACATATTTAAGCACTTAACAATTCAAGCATGTGAAACTTTCAATACTTTTGTTTTTCCAAATTGCTCTACTTCAAGTAGTTAATGTGATGTTAAACATTTTACATTCTTAATTCTACAAGCCACCTTTATACCAAGCCCCTTGAGGCAAAACCAAACACGACCATGCCAATGTCTTAAATTCTTAACTAGTACATAAAAATATTAGTTTTGTAATTTTAATTGTAGTTATCTTTTCAAAAATATCTTGTATAAAACGGATGAGAGTGTTAGACAGTGTATGCCCTTAGCTCCAATGTACACAAACTTTTATGTATGAATAATATAAGTACATTATTGTTCTATGTTCAGATTAGTGTGTTTCTGTGAATTACTCCTTAAACTGGACACTTAAGAGAATTGTGTTAATCTAGAATGTTCTCAACCATTGGATAGACTTTGAGAGTTTGTCTTGACAAGGTTGATACTGATGTGCTGTTGAATTGGTGGAACAGCTTGTCTTAACTACTAGGGTTAAACCCCAAGCACAATCAGTGAGTGTTTGTGAAAATGAATTGAACCTAGACCAATTTTCAGTTATGTCTTGGACCTTGGAGACAGATGGGCAAAACTAGAAAGTTGCACTTAACCCAAAACTTGATTATAATATTATATTGGGTCTTGGACTACGATGCTTTTTATATGCCAACCAATGAGATTCAACTAGGGTCAAATACCTAGGTATGTTGGAGCAATTTAGGATATTACCTCAGTGGGTGATCATAGTGATAGGATTAACCCCTTTGTCAGACAAAGTGATTAGGGTTTACACTCTCTCTAATGGAAACCTAAAACTGCAAGTAGTGGATTTCAACTGTATTTGAAATCGGATTTGCAAAATGTATTTATACATATATTATTTTTTGAAAAAGGTTTGCAAAAGGTTTTAATCCTAAGATCTATCTGAGCAAAGGGTGTGACACTACATCTTGCAGCCAAGGAAGAGGTCATTCCCTATAAGCAGTGTTTTGATTATTTATGGCTGAGAGGTTAAGGGCAAGAGGCCATTAGAGGGCTGATAACCTAAAGGGATTTATCTTACATTAGTCCATTACCCTTTGGTTTCATAGGATGGTTGAACCTGAGGATCACTTATATTTAAGTGTTGGGCCCAATTTGTTTGGCTCAAGAGTTCACTGCCCTTGGGCAATGAATTCGGCCTATCTCTATCTAGAGATGGGATAAACCCATGTGGACTTATGTGAGACAATTTGTGGGTCCCACACCATGCAACAATTGGGCCTAAGAAGCCATGCAACGCCTATGTATGTGAACTATTAAAGAAAATGGGCCTTACACTCATTACTACTATGACTAGTTAAAGAGGTCACATGACAAATTAAATTGTCATGTGGCATGGATCTTATATGGGTATGAAAATGGGTATGGAGCTCCATCTTATTTGAGAGATTAAATTTTAATCCAAATATGGTTTGGATTAAGTCCTTATCCAATTAAGAAAGAGCTCTATAAATAGGGATTAGAGGGATGGGGTGAACCATTCAATCTCTCCACTCTAGTTCAAAGTTCAAACCAGCCTTGGTGATGGCTGATTCTCATCACTCCCCTGCTGTATTATTGAAGAAAAACATCAGAGAACATCAGGTTCACATAACTGTGTCAAGCCCAAACAGTTGGATCTCAATTTGGCGGGAAAGGTGTTGCTGATTCGACTTCACACATACAGCTATGCCATTCAGTTGGAAGTCGATTTGGGTTTGATATTGAGCATAAACTACCACTCTGGGAGCTGCATATTTTGGACTCCGTATCAGGTATGATCAGTTTAAATTAGGGTTTCAAATCTGGTCCGATTCAATGCAAGTTCGATCCAGTAATTCAAATTTCAAAATACTGAGAAATCGGTTCTCGGGTCGGATTGAATTTTTTTTTTTTAAATTTGGCCAACAACTGGAACAAATTTGGTCATGTTTAGTTAAGAGTTCAGCCCTTTCAACAGAGAGAACAATTGCAAAAGGGGGGGAGGGGGGGAAGTCTCTAAGCTAACGCCTACGCCTGGGCTGAGGCACAAAGTGCACTAGGTGCACACCTAGGCACACCAAGCACATGCCTTTTCAAAGGAGCTGTGCCTGGGCCTAAGCAAGGCATATGCCTTCAAATGCACTTCGTCTGTGTACCAACCCAGGCACACCTTTTAAAATCACTGATCTTACCATCTCATAAGTGAGAAAGAAATATACAGAAACACCCCCTCTAATGGGTACAACCCAAAAAACGGAATATACATCAGTAAATGCAAAAGAATACTATAATGGAAGAAGATTCCCCCAATTCAACTCCAATCTTTCAACCCTTCCTCTAACTGGACTATCAGCAATTGCATTAACAATCTCTGAGTCCACCTGAATAACATGTTCACCCTGGGTGCTAGATCCATGGTCTCTCTGATGTGGTGAAACTGTTATAGTAACCCAGGGAAACCATCTCTGCAACATTGAATAATCACCCTCCACCTCCACTTGCTCTTCTCCAACAATTGATAAGAGTCTAAGGTCATGAAGCAGTTTGTCCCTGGTCTATCTGAGTATCCGGCTGGGAATAGAGTGTGCCAGTAGGATGTCTCCTGCATTTCCATTGGTCCCAGATTCCCCAAAGAACAACCACCAAAATTGAATATGGCACTCCTTGGGGTGGGGGATCCAATCATAGAACACTATTTGATGGTAGATCATGCCATAACATCCCAGGTCCAAACAATATCATCAAATTATAATAACTTGACTCCTGTCTTGACCGTAGCCAATGCACCACCCCGATAGTGATAATATGAATAACAACCCCCTCTATCCATTGTTGTTTTCCTATGAAGTTTCCTCCTGTCTCTCCTTTCAGGTTAGAATTAGAGATAGAGAAAAACAAGGATGTGTTTTATCTCCTGGAAAAATATGCCACCCGAGAAAACTAAGAGATTTCTATCTCCTTGTTTTGCTACTTAAGTTGGGCACTATTCCAAGAAAATGTTGATTATGATTTGCCATCCGAACAATGTGGTAATTCTCTGCTGTATGTAAAACTCTACATACCCTACAATCTACTGAATGTTAAGGTCCACTGTACCAATCTCTCCATATACCTAGTGGGTCTAGTAATAGTAACTCCACAAGAGCCAGTGGTGTAATTACTGTTACCTTGCACACATAAGCCAGGAAGGTCCATACAGCCAATCAAAATAATTATTTCCCCTATCAAAATCTGTCTCATGGATATTTTATAGTTCAGACCATAAAATTTGCACAATAATACTATTTGAAGTGACAAAGGCTAGAGATACAAACCTCCCACATACAAAGAACCTCATTGAATGACAACTCTCGACGGAAAAGCACCAACAGCATTCGGAAAGCAAAATGAAGACTTTCAGCTCCTATTTGTGATAAATGTGCAAACATTTCCCTGTCAGTAAGTTCCAAGATATTCCACAATGCTTGCAACTGCTTTATAACTCCAGCTGGACCTTCTGTTTGAAAATTTTCCCTCTGGAAGAGATGAAAACATAGCAGTATAAGAGAATAATATACAAGCAGACAAAAAAATAGTAATAAATCAAGATATTTGTCATGTATGAAGGTACCATTCTCCTCAAAAGCATCTCAAAGCACCAAAATGCATCTGCATTATCCTCATAGAGGACAACAAAAGGAGACAGCAAATCGCTCATACCTATAATCAGATTGTCAAAAGACATAGCAACTCAAATTTCAAAGTCGGTACGAGAAAAGTTGATTATTTATAGTTCTATTATGAATTTAACAAAGGAAATAATTCAGAATTTAGGAAATATTTATTATGAGTCAATGAAAAAGGAACAGCATGTAACCTTGGCAGTACCCAGTAGCAGGATCAACCCATGCATAAACAGCAAGAATGTCTGACAACCTAGCTAGGTTCTTTGCATCCTCATAAAACTCTAGATTGCTATCTGTTCTTACAACATCAACAACTGTAAAAAGCAAAGATTCACAGCTTGAGATGCAAAAGCCAAAAAGAAAAAAATAATCAAGAAATTCAATTGTAATATAAATAAAATTCTAACATCAAAATAGAACATCAGAATGTGTTTACCTATTTGGTGAAGAGTCCAAAGCCACTCAGAAACTCTGTCTTCACTAACACTTCCTTCTTGAGTCATGGTTGCATTCATCATTATTGTTTCTTGAACATCAGATATTCTAAGCCCATTTACTGCTTCAGTTTTGCATTCCAACTTTATTTCCTTGACTTCTTCTCTGTGGATATCCAATGTAGCCATCTCAGTTTCAGGGTTCCTTGCATGTGAGACACCATCAGATGGTGAACCATTTGACTCCATAATTAGATCTATGTTATTACTAATTTGAAAGCTGTGCATGTTTTCATCAGGCCATCTCAAGTCTGCAGATAGTCTATCATTATGCAATTCAGATTCTTTCTTATCCCTGTCACTTTGTTCAAACAAATCTGTGACAGGTAAAGGAGGAAAGTCAAAATAAGTCTCATTTATGTATTTTGATACATGAGCTTCTTCCCCTGGCATTGGGGAAAAGCAATTGTAAGGACCAGAAGAAGGCATAGGACATGAAGAGTCATATACCGCACCATCTGTGCTTCCCATAATGCTGATAATGTCAGCTGAATCGCTAGAGCTGTCCCCTTGGCATGTGTATGATGTATCTATATGGTTATTATTACAATCACAGTAAGTCTCTATTTCATTAGTTGTATCATCAAAATCTTGTCTACTCTCTCCTTCCGCTTCCCTTTTACCACTTTCTTTAGACACTGTCCTCATATCCATCACTTTTGACCCCACAACATAGGCAAGAGAACCAGTACCAATGCTTGAATGCATCATTTGGCACTGTTTAATTAAATCCATGTATCGGTCCCTGCAATAAAATGCCATAAGTATATTTTTTTAGTCATAATGTTAAGAAGTAAACTAGATATAATAATATTCACTTATCAGCACAAAGCATGCCAGTATCATAAATAGACACCAAATCATGAAGAACAATAAGTATTTTTTGCAAAAAGAACATGAATAATACTATTGAGTCATGACTTGGGACAGGCACACTGTGATAAGGAGCACCCATGAGCAACGCCTAATGGGTGGGACGCAAACCTATTGGCTAGAACCTCCAATAGCCTCTCCTTGAAAAGCCATCCGTTCTTGCTTAACTATGTTCCTTTGTCAAAAAATTGCTGCTTGCAAGGAAATAAAGGTTTCGAAATGACATCTGGTGGGGTGAGCAGCCTCTTAGACAAATTTCACTATATAATTTTTGCTCTATCTTTAACTAAAAATGAGCCTTCATCTGTTTGCTACTCTGTCCAATCATGGCCTGGTTTGGAATCTTGTTTTAAGGGGAGGGTTGAAGGATGAGGAGTCTCTTGAAGTTTTGAAGCTGATTTCTTCTTTGGAGTATTTTATACCTAACACTTTCAAAACTCGACACTTGTATTTGGTCCCTGAGTTGCTCAGGCTCTTTCATTTGTGCATCTTTCTTCAAAGTACTCTCTCAGGGAGCTGTTCCACTTTCACATGATGATTTGCCTGTTAAGACGATTAGGAGAGAGCCAGTTCCTCCTAAAATCAGGACATTCTGCTGGGAGGTGTGTCACATGAAGATCAATACTTGTAATGTTTTACAAAAGAAAAGGCCAACATGATACTTATCTCCCAATCTGTGTTTCCTTTGTAAAGCTTGCAGTAAATCTTCTTTCCATTTACTAATCTCCTATTAGTTTGTGTCAGCAATTTGGGATTTTTTTCTCTTTTCACTATTTGGATGTAGATGGAGTCCACCTTTGTCTCTGAGAGATCTGTTCGAAGATATTTTTTTCCACACCCAGGATAGCCTGGTATAGGGGATGCCTTCAGTGATAGTCAAGGTCATTTCCTACACTTGTATTTGAGGCTGATAGGGCATGGGGACTACACAAGAGTGGAACTTCTGGCAGTCCTTCAAGGCATCAAATTGGCTAAAACTCTAAATTAGGACAATTTGGTGATTAAGATAATTCTAAGGTGGTAGTGGGGTGGTTGAATGGAACCAAAGGACCATGGAAATGTAAGGACACTTTGAGAGAGATCCAACCATTGATAAGAGAGATGACAATTAACCTCAGTTGGGTAAAGAGGTCTGCCAACTGCTTAGCTGATGCTCTTGCTAGGCAAGGAGTACAAAGCAGAAATCTATTTTGGGGTTAGTCCTTTCAGGGGAATGAATGTATGTAAAAGGATAGTGGACAAGGTAGCACGGGGTCCAACCTACCAGGAGAGACATGCTGCCAAATTTCTTCGTATGTTAACTTATTACGTACTTCTTGTACTGTTGTACGATTACCATTGTACAATTCTATTTTTAAGCAATAAAGTTTCAGTTAATGAGCAAAATAAATAAATAAATAAATAGTGAATCAGTCAGCTGATGGGGAAAACATTCTGTTCTTCTCAACCACTTTTTTTTGATAAATATGTACTTCTTGTACTGTTTGTTTTGATCATAATTCATAAAAAAAAGAACTTGAGTAGAATTAGGGTTTCCCTATTCAGGGTATATAAGTATGCATTATGTTTGCTGAAACCCCTTAATTATATTCCTTGAAGGAAATACCCTTTGATTTTCATCTTATGTGAAAGAGCTACTTTGTAAGGGTTAAACTCAACAACAGGTATAAGCAGTCCCGTCAGCTTGGACTCTTAGCGGGTTATACCCATGAGTGGGCCCCACAATTGGTAGATAGGTCATGGGACCCATACACCATTGGGTACCTATGTATTTAAATTTATACATCTTAACAGTGAGTCCCGTTATTCGGTAAAAAGTGGGACCCACTATACTGATTTGGTGGTGGGCATGGCCCACCTTAAATATTTTGACAGTGGACCCCACTGACAGGTGGGACCCACTAGATTGATTTGTTAGTGGGTGTGGCCAACTCTAAGATTTTAAACTTAAATATTTTGACAGTGGGCCCCGCTGACAAGTGGGACCCACTAGGTTGAGTTGTTAGTGGGTGTGGCCCACTTTATAATTAAAACTTAAATATTTTGAAAATGGGCCCCACTGACAGGTGGGACCCACTAGGTTGATTTGATAGTGGGCATGGCCCATTTTAAGGTTTTAAACTTAAAATATTTTGACAGTGGGCCCCGCAAACAGGTGGGACCCACTAGGTTGATTTATTGGTGGGCATGACCCACTTTAAGATTTAAAGCTCAAATATTTTGACAGTGGGCCCTACTGACAGGTGGGACCCACTAGTTTGATTTGTTAGTGGGTGTGGCTCACTTTAAGATTTAAAACTTAAATATTTTGATAGTGGGCCCCACTGACAGGGTGGGGCCCACTAGGGATTTGATAGTGGGCATGGCTCATTTTAAGGTTTTAAGGTTAAAATATTTTTATAGTGGGCCCCGCTGACAAGTGGGACCTACTAGGTTGATTTATTGGTGGGCATGGCCCACTTTAAGATTTAAAACTTAAATATTTTGACAGTGGGCCCTGCTGACAGGTGGGACCCACTAGTTTGATTGGTTAGTGGGGCGTGACCCACTTTAAGATTTTAAACTTAAATATTTTGATAGTGGGTCCCACTGACAAATGGGACCCACTAGGTTGATTTATTAGTGGGCATGACCCACCTTAAGATTTTAAACTTAAATATTTTAACAGTAGGCCCCACTGACACGTAGGACCAACCATGTTGATTTAATAGTTAACAGTGGGCCCCGCTGATAAGTGGGACCCACTATGTTGATTAAATAGTGGGCATGGCCCACTTTAATATTTTAAGCTTAAATGTTCTAACAGTGGGACCCACTATACTGATCTGATAGTAGGCCCACTACAGCATTAACTCATTATTAAACTTTACTTTTGTATATAGTGAGTGGGATCCACCAAGCCAAAAATGATTCAGCATTTTGTAACAGTGGATTATTCACTGCTAATTTTCCTTTGAGATGGATAAAATCCACTGAATTATTAAATCTTATTTTGGGTTTATAGTAGATGGGACCCACCAAACCAGCAATTATAACAGTGGGTCTACTATGTTGATTTCAACGGTGGGTGATGGCCCACCACTCAATTTATATTTGGCTTTGAATGTGGTGGACAGGATCCACCGATTGCAACACTGATATGCTGTTGCAAGGTAATTTGATGAGGACCCACTAAATCAGATAAGTGACATTGGATATGGCCCACTAATCAACCTGCTTTAATGGTGGGTAAGAGCCACCGGACTAGCCCAAAGAAGATTAAATTAATCAGTGGGCAGGACCCACTAAATCAGAATAAGTGATACTTGTCGTGAACAGTGGGTATGGCCCACTAGTTAGCTTGTTTTAATGGTGGATAAGAGCCACCAAATTAGCCCAAATATGATTAAATCGATTAGGGTAAGTGATGTCTTCTGGAATAGTGGGTATGGCCCACTAATCAGCCTATTTAAATGGTGGATAAGAGTCACTGAATTATCCCCAATGGTGATTAAATTTTATAGTGGGTAGGACCCACCACTAAACAGAACTCTAGAGGCTCCCCAGTATTAATCCCCTTTTTTATCTATTTTATACATTCTTTTTGTGGTGGATAGAATCCACCGGATATAAGAAAACAATTGAGACAAGAGTTGGAGTTCAACAGAACTCTAGAGAGAGAGAGAGAGAGAGAGAGAGAGAGAGATATGGATTGAGAATAGACTAAGTTTAGGGATAGAAGATAAGAGATAAAATAAAATAAAATAAAACCTGTACCTGTGTATATTTATCCTCTTCAATCAGTAGAACTACAAATTCCCTCCTCTATTTTATCTCTTCCTCTCTCTTCTCTCCTTTTTCTCTTTCTCTTCACTCTTTTCTCTCTCTCTTCTCTCTTTTCTCTATCTGCCGCCTCTCTATCAGCCTGCCTTCTCTCTATTAATCCACCATTTTGCTCTTCTCTCCCCCTTATATAGAAGGAGACAGTTATAGGGTGGGGAGGTTAGAGCAACCCCCCACTCTTCATACGTGGGGTGGTTGCTTAACTTCCCCCCATAACCAAAACACAACTTAAAAGTGGAGTGGGCCAGCTGTCAAATCCCCCCCCTCCAGCTTTATATTTATTTACATAATTTTTTTTACATCATATACTTTTGAGTCCTAAACACTGTTGTACGATTACCATTGTACAATTCTATTTTCAAGCAATAAAGTTTCAGTTAATAAGCAAAATAAATAAATAAATAAATAGTGAATCAGTCAGCTGATGGGGAAAACATTTTGTTCTTCTCAACCACTTTTTTTTTTTTTTTGATAAAAGATAAGGTAAAATTTTATTCAAATAGCCAAAAATGGCAGATTACAACCAAGGCCCCTAAGACAAGGAGCCAAAACTCACTTTAACAACTACAATACATCATAACTCAAGAAAATTCCTAGATCTCAGCTGAGAACAGAGGACTGAAGCCTGAAGGTCCTTCACCGCAGCCACACAGGAAACTAGCTTGCCAAAAGCAAAGGCAATCAAGCAATCTATGCTAGAGGCCTTATTTTGAAAGATCCTTCTGTTTCTTTCTGTCCAGATTGTGCATAAGATGGCTGCAGGCAGGACACTCCAAATGCACTCCGCCAATTTAGAACCACCCTTCAGCTCCCAACTCCATATCATGTCCAGAACTGAATAAGGCATACACCATTGCAGCCCTACCCCCGATAAAAAGTGATTCCATATTGCAGCTGTAACCAAACAGTGAATGAATAGGTGCCTGCCATCTTCCTCCATATCTCCACAAAGAACACACAGCTGGTCCTGAATCTGAACACCCCTTCTAACCAGGGAGTCTTTCGTAAGGCAACTATTGAGAGACACAGCCCAAACCAAAGCATTCACTT